GTAATCCTGAAATGGCTTCATCCAGAAGCTTGAGCAGCAGACTCAAGTGATGGATAGTCAGAAGTGCAATGCCAAGACTCCATTTGTCAAGGCTCATGAGGCAAGATGTGCAGAGAGGGCCCTGCACGGCTGAGCTATTCAGGTGAGGTCTTTTCTGCTGGGACTCCCCCAGAAGATCCCAGCAACCACAAGGTGAAAGGAAGCACTGGCTTCTATGGGATGAAGAAGACTCCAATTTCAGTTGCTGTGGCCTTTCTGTGGCTATAGGAGCACAAGTGAAAGGGGGTGGAGTAGAGCACTCAGAGAGGGGAGCCTCTTAAGAGAGGCAAGCCTGTGCTGCTTTGAGAGGCACTGTGAGTGCAGGTATTTTTTTCCCAGATTTTCATTTCATTTCCATCAGATAAATACCAGTAGTGAGACTGCTGGGTCATATGGTAGTTCTACTTTTAATTTTTGAAAGAACTTCCATACTGTTTTCCATAGTGGCTGCACCAATTTACATTCCCACCAACAGTACACAAGCGTTCCCTTTTTTTCCCACTTGTCACCAGCACTTGCTATCTTATCTCTTTGATGATAGCTTTTTAACAAGTGTGAGGCTATATCTCATGGCTTTGGTTTGCATTTCCCTTGTGCTGAGTAGTGTTGAGCAAGTTTCCATGTACCTGTTAGCTGTTTGTATGTCTTCTTTGGAAGACAGGTTCTTCACCCATTTTTTTAATCAGTTTGTTTGTTTTTTTGTTAAATTGTATGAGTTCCTTATATGTTTCCAATATCGATCCCTTACAGATATATGATTTGCAAATATTTTCTACACTTCGTAGGCTGCTGATTATTTCTTTTGCTTTACAGAACATTTTAGTTTGATATAGTCCCATTTATTTATTTTTGTTTCTGGTGTCCTAGCTAAAAATCATTGCCAAGATCAATTTCAAGGAGCTTTTCCCTATGTTTTATTCTAAGAGTTTTATGGTTTCAGGTCTTATGTTTAAGTATTTAATCCATTTTGAGTTGATTTTTACTTGTGACATAGGGTCCAATGTTATTCTTTCTTATGTAGATATGCAGCTTTCCCAATCACCATTTGTTGAAGATACTGTCTTTTTCCCATTGTGTTCACAATAGCCAAGACACAGAAACAACCCAAGTGTCCATCAAGGGTGAATGGATAAAGAAACTATGATTTGTATGATGTGTATGTATATATGAATATATAATGAAATATTATATCATATCATATTATATTATATTATATTATATATATATTCAGTTATAAAAAGGAAGGAAATCTTGCCATTATGGACAACATGGATAGTTAGACCTGTTATGCTAAGTGAAATAGGCCAGACAGAGAAAGAAAATACTATATGATCTCACTTATAATTGGAATCTTAAAAAGTTGAACTTTTAGAACCAAAGAGAAGAATGGCTATTACTAGGGGTGGAGGACAGAGATAGGGGAATGGGGAGAGGTTAGTCAAAGGATTCAAACTTCCACTTGTAAATGAATTAAGTAATGGGGATACGATGTCCAGCATGGTGACCATAGTTAATGATACTGTGTTGTATACTTGAAATTTGCTAAGAGAGTAGATCTTAAGTGCACTCACCACAAATGGTAGTGATTTGACCTAATAGATGTATTAATTGACTTGATTGTGGTAACCATTTCACAATATATATGTATATCAAAGCATCACATCATACACCTTAAGTATAAACAATTTTTACTTGTCAGTTATAACTCAATAAAGCTGGACCTAACCTATCATACAATGAAGACTCCCATCATGACCCAGGACTGGCACCTATGCACCGAAGAGGATTGAGTGAGAATGCCAGAGTCTGAAAATCCAAGACAATCCAGAAGCCTTTCTCTAATATTACAGGGAAAAGGGTGGAGGAGGAAAAGAATTTGACAGCTGCTATCCTATAGGGTAAATTTTTTTACCACCATTACACAAATAGAAGCTGATGTTCAGAGAGTGTGAGTAATTTGACCAAAATCACACAGCTAAAAAAAAAAAAAAAGAGTGCATTCCAGATTTGAATTCAACAACCTGATTCCATTTTCACCTTTCTTTCCATTTCTTTCCAAACTAGATTCTGATCAGTTTAACAGTGGTTTTGATTTCTATTATAAATTAGATCTAAGGTTAAATTGGACCCTAAGTTTGCTTCCAGCGAACTCACCATCCTTTGGTAATAACAGTTGGTGTTTAAAGATAAACAAAGATATGCACTGTCTACCATTCCTATGGCTCCTGTGTTGGTAAAGCTTTCATTTGGTCTTTAACCACTGGTCCAATTGGACTTTCTACTCAAGTCTATTAAATGTATCTGCTTCATCTTCTGACTTCAGAAATATTCAAGAGAACTCTTGAGCTAGAATGTTAGCAAGTTTGACTTCTTTTCTTCGTTTTCTTGGTCACAGTAACTATCACAACAGAATTATGACAGCATTTTCTGACATGAATCTTTTTTATCCCTAAGTATTCAAAATCACTTTCACTTAAGTGGTTGAGGAAAACTCTGAAGAGCTGCCATGGTTTAAATAAAATTTGCTGGAAAAAAATAGCAGAAGAAACCATCTTAATTTAACACACAAAGAGCTATATTTCAGTTCTATCCAATTAGCAGTGTTCAATATTATTAAAGTCTGTTGACAAAAAAGCAACAGATGCTCCATTTTCCTTGATGTTAATTAATGAAGTTTTTTACCTCTAAAAAATTTGGAGAAACCGGATCTTTTATAATCAAATAGCTTTCGCCTACACAAAATCTACGTCTGGAAAAACATGTAAGTATGTCAATATTCAAGGAAGGATAATTACTCTTTGAATGCTCCAGATCTTCATTTCTCTTTCTTAGTGTTTCAACTCAAAACATGCACCAATTTCCATTGAGATAAATAGTAATAATAATTGCATGGTGGAAATTATTAGATATCTCTGGCTGACTCTTTTATGATGGGGATGGCTCATTGGCAATGCTATAAAATTAGAAGAAGATTGTTATAATTTTAACAAGAAACTCCATTAATTTTCAACCTATAGAGAATACTTTCAGTGAATGTTCATTTTCTAACTTTATTGTAGAAAATCTCAAAAATATACAAAAGTAGAATAATACTATGAAGGCCTAATTACCCATCACCCAGCTTCAACAATTATCAACCTTGGACTTTTTTTTTTTTTTTTTAGAGAGAGAGAGAACAGAGAGCACATGTGTGAGTGGGGGAGAGAAGCAGAGAGAAGGAGTGAGAGAATTTTAAGGAGGCTCCATGCTCAGTGCGAAGCCCAATGTGGGGCTTCATCTCATAACTCTGAGATCTTGACTTGAACCCAAATCAAGAGCCAGATGCTTAATTGATTGAGCCACCCAGGTGCCCCTGGACATTCTTCATTTATTAACTCCACTCACTTTCCTGTCCCCATATTATCTCACTTCATATAGAAGTATTTCAGTGTGGATCACTAAAGGTAAGGATTCTTTATTTAAACACAAGCAAAACAGTTCCGTTATATTTTTTTTAATGACTCAAATTTCTTAAGGTCAGTATAGAAATTGTTCTGATGATCTTTTTTTATTGTTTTTTTTTTAATCAGGAGCTAAATAAGGTTTAGATTATTGCATATAGTTATAATAAGCTATACTAACGTCTTCCTGGTTACAAGCACGAGTATCTGTTTCTTGTTCAGGTTACATGAAGACCACACTGGGCTTGGGTAGATTCAATAGCATATGTCTTTCTAGTTCTGGAGCCCTGGCTGCAGGAGCAGCTGCTATCTGGCTGTTCTGTTCTCAGGGCAGAGGGAAGGCGAAGGGACAGAGCCAAACCATGCAAGAACTTCAAAGGCTTCTGCTTGGACTAAATGTATGACACATGTATTCACATTTCAGTGAAGGATCAGAAGACAGTTGACTCAGGGAACTGATTTATTGGGGAGATTTGTAGTCCCCCCAGTAAGGAAGTAATAGACATAACACCAACAATTATGATAGCATCTATAAGAGTTATGCAAATAATATCAACCAAATTCATAAGAATATTTAATTCAGACTAGAGGATGAGGTCAGGAAGGGCTTTCCCAAGCAACTGATATTTGAGATGAATTTTTAGCATGTGCAGGAATTAGATTGTTGAGGAGGAAAGGGCTAGCATTATGTATACCCCACATGTAAAGATTTGGAGGAAAGAAAAGATAACGGCACGCTTAAGGAGCTGGTAGAACTTAACCATGCTATGCTTTCATATTTTCATCCATGAAAGGCAATAAAAACGGTACCTACCAAATTGGAGCACTGTGAAGATTAATTAGCGTGAAAGGCTTCAAATCATGCCTGTCTGCACTAAGTGCTCAACTAATATTGGCTAATGCTACCTTCTTATTTGTCCTATATGCTATTAGAGTGGGAAAGATGTGTATATGATATCTGAGCAAGTCTCTAACCAAAAACATCAGAAGATGATACCATTAAAAAGAAAGCAATCCACACAGCCCTTAGCAGTAAACAGCACCAAACAGGGGCAAGGAGATGTACGGTTTTCAAAAATGGAACATTTTATTTTAACAGCATGGTGTGTGTGTGTGTGTTTGTGTGCGTGTGTGAGGGGGAGAGAGAGAGAGTTCAGATCTGATTCATGGCATGAAAATGACATTTGATGTGCCTCTGATCTCCTCTGCCTAAAGATTGTGAGTTAGCGCAGAGCATACAGCTGGGTCTTTTCCTCCTGATCCGGGAGGGGAAGGAGGGAAGAGGCCAGGGCTATTTGTGCGCAGGCAGCAATTATACTCGGAAACCCAGAGCCTGACAGTCGCTGCTCCTGGGCAATCGACACTGCTTCCTGCCGCCGGCTGCTTAATGCCGCGGAGGTGATGGAACCCGAAGGGAGCGGGCGAACAGGTGGTAATTATGACTGACACAATGACGGCCTGTGCAGACATGTAACCACGGAACAAAACACCGCAGTTAGCTAACAAGAGATCGGTGGAAGGTTTTTTGCTGGCACTGTGTCTCCTGTCTGACACTTCTGAAATTGGAGGGAGGGAGGGGTGGCATTGTAAGCCTGGGTATTCAGAGGTATAATAGGCCAGCTGAGCTGAAGGGAGAATGCTTAACATTTGTTCCTTTAGCTGTGATTCTATCAGCCCCTGTTTTCATGTTGATTGTCCAGAGCACTCTTTGCGGGCAATTTTCCCTTTTGAAAATGTGTCCTCTGGATGCTTTCTTTGATACGGTACAGCTCTCTCACACAGCGTCCTGAGCAGTTTTCAGATTGTTCGTGGATTTCTTGATATTGCAGTTCATAATATATACAAAGAAGGTTTTTATAATATAGGTCATGTTTTCTCCCTCTGCCTTGAAGGTTCCATGGAGATATGCCTTTCAGAAGATAAGGAAAAGAAATAGCGGGGAATGTTCCTAACTGGCTCTTCTGTAGTTCCTATAAGGTTAGCGGACATCGCCTTGGGGCGAACTAACACCCCAGTCTGAAAAAATAATGGTAATGAGTTCTATAATATCTAAAGAGTGCGTTTGAGGGTGATTTTACCAGATTCCTTCCCCATACTAGGTTTCCTTCACAAAATGCTTGGTCATCGCAACCTCTGTGCGAGCTTATAGGGTTCAGCCAATTCTAAGCATTTGTTTGTTGGTCTTGAAGTTGACTGAATCCCTGATTATATTACAGAATCTTCTTGCAATTACAGAATCTTCTTGCAACACATCCACGTGCTGGTGGCTGAGGAAAATGATTTTGTTTCTTCTTTGAAGACCTAGATTTACTCCCATCTATGTGACAACATGAGATCATACAGATGTCTGGAGAGAGAATGAATGGTGTGGGAATAATTTATTAATCCCTCTACCTCCTTTTTGACCTGCTCCAAGAATAATCCATTAAAAATCTACCTGAAAGAATTAGCATGCTTTTCTTGTCCCAATAACTGCAAAAGTTACAATGTATCTCATTATAAAATTGGTATAATTTATATAATATTATAAACATAATACTTTCTTGCAACTCAATCTGGAACTTTCTATTCTGTGGGTGTATAACATTATAGCAAATTAAAAAAAAAGACATATGTTGGCAGTTCTTTGTGGGACAGTGGTGGTAAAGGAGGTCATGCTGATCCATGAGGACTGGCAAGGAGTTTGTAAACCCATCCAAATTCAATCTCAATTTCTTACTTTGAGCTGTAAGTACCACAATGTTTGGTTTCTGCAAAACATCTCTTGAATTAGTTTCTTTCTTTAGGTTCCTATGGGGCAATGCTTTCCTGAGTCTCCTCTGCCCTCATTAGCCCTGTTCTTGGATGGATAAATGCCTTTATTTGAACCCGTGGTCACCAAATTTCAGGAATTTGTGATATGGATTTACTGAAGTTTTTTAGATCCAGGCATTCAAAAATAGAAGTTTGCAAGAATGTACAGCTGATCTTTAACAACACAGTTTAGGAGTGCTGACCCCTCACAGCCTAAAATACATGTATATCTTTTGACTCCACAAAAACCTAACTACAGATAGCCTACAGTTGCCCAGAAGCCTTACTGATAACATAACCAGTCACACATGTTTTGTATGTTACATGTATTATATGCTGTATTCTTATAATAAACTAGAGAAAATAAAATGTTATTAAGAAAATCATAAGGAAGAGAAAATACCTGTAGAGCACTAGACTGTATTTCTTAAAAACAATCCACATTTAAGTGGACTCCTGCAGTTCAAACCTGTGTTGTTCAAGGGTCAACTGTATTTCAGAATTAAGGTTCTCAGCAGTGCAACTCCAAGGTCACACTTATGACCTCTATAGCAAGAATAACAAATAAATGGTTTATTTAGGTAGATCTACTTACACTATTAATGTTAAAGGATAAATTGAGGACAATTGAGATCAGTGAGAGACCCAAATTTTCATTCTGTTTTGTTTCACGATTGTGTAGTACATGAAAAGTGGGCCAGGGGAAACACTGTAAGCAAAACATCGGAAAGTAACTGTAATTCCTAGCTTCAAATAGACATTTCCTACCCATAAAACTAGTGAGAATGGAGTGAACTGAAATACTTAAGGGCTTAAGCACAGTTCCTATTGAGCCAACGGTCCCTGCTCTGTCTGCAAGTGCCAGAGCTGCACCTGAGTGCTCCCCCCCCCCACCCAGCCTCAGGCCATAAGAACCCATGGGCGCACCATGATGTCAAAGATCCTGTGTCCCCGCAAAAAAGTGGCTGGCAAGTTCTAAGAAATAGAACTTTAAAGTATGTAAGTCAGGAGGCGCCTGGGTGGCTCAGTCTGTTAAGCATCCGACTTTGGCTCAGGTCGTGATCTCATGGTCCGTGGGGTCGAGCCCCACGTCGGGCTCTGTGCTTACAGCTCAGAGCCTGGAGCCTGTCTTCGGATTCCATGTCCCCCCCTCTCTCTGACCCTCCCCTGCTCATGCTGTCTCTATCTCTCTCTCAGAAATAAATAAAACATTTAAAAAAACAAAATAAAATATGTAAGTCAGGGCTAGAAAATTTTCTCAGACATCGAGAGAACGTCTCTTTCAAATCAGAGAATCAAATATAAAGGATGACACAGAGGAAGTTCCCTTTAAGACAGAAAAGTTAGAGGAAAAGTCCTGTTCTTAATCATCCTGTTTTGACAACTCCCACACACACCTCTTTCCCCCCAAAATTTGGAAAATTATCTAGATCCTCTGTGGAAAGGAGCCATTGACTCTATTTTCTTGTTACTAATGAAATTTGCTTTGAGTTTCCTTTAAAAGTGAGGTAACGGTATTCAGTAAGGAAGAACATCCCCGTAGTTCCAGCTGAAGCAGCACTTGCACTACCATTAAACAAGGCAAGTCAGGCAAGATTGTACCATGGAAAGAACAGGTCTTCCACTTAGTCACTTCATCTGAGACTTAGTATCTGCTCTTGATTCAGTACAACTGAAATTGGCGAACCAACTTGATGTTTCCACATTTCTACTACACCTTTGGCAAAATAGCAGTAAGATCTGTTCATGGGACTACATGAAGTAAATAAAACATCTTTCTGAAAGTGCCTCAGAGTCATAGATGTCTTAGTAGTATTAGTATTATTTTCTTTTTTCTTTGCCAAGTGACTTAGTCAATTCAGCACCATCAACTGGGTACCCTATAACAATAAATATCTATTTATCACAGTTCTGGAGGCTAGGTATCTGTGATCATGGCACCAACATGGTCGAGTTCTGGGGAAAGGCATTCCTGTGGCTGCAGAGGGCCAACTTCTCACTGTATCCTTACATGGTGGAAGAGCGGGAGGGAACTCTCTACACCCTCTTTTATAAGGACACTAATCCCATTCATGAGGTTCCACCCCTCATGATCTAAGTAGCTCCCAAAGTCCCCTCCTCTTAATACCATCATCTTTGGGGGTTAGAATTTCAACACATATATTTAAAGGGGGTACACTCAGACCATAGCTCCAAAGAAACATATGTAGACAGATCCTAAATATATAGGTCGATCTTTCCTTCAGTTGCTCTTCCATCTGCCCCAATAATTCTTGATCTGGCTGCACATTAGAATCACTTGGGGGAGATTTTTAAAAATAGTGGTGCCTACATTTGACACCAGACCGACTAAGTGAGATTTTTCTGGGAATGGGCCTGAGCCATCAGTATATTGTTAAAGTTCCTCCAAGTGATTCTGATGTGCAACCAGTATTGAGAATCTCTACTGATCTCTTCAAGCTGTTCCTTAGCAATGTAATTAATTAGAATATTCACTCTTCACTTTCCAATAGAGTAGCCAGTAGTTGCATGTGGCTACTGAACACTTGAAATGTGGCCAGTCTGAAATCAAAATGTGTTGTAAACATAAAAGACACCACACGTTTTGAAGACTTAATATGAAAATAAGAATATAAAATATATAATCATTTTTATGCTGACTTTATGTTGAATACTATTTTGGCTCTTTGAAGTTAAATAAAAACTCTTTCTACAAATAATTTCACCTTTTCCTTTTACTTTTTTGTGAAAGTACTGGAACATTTAAAATTACCTACGTTTCTCACATTATATACCTGTTAGAGAGCACTGCTCTAGATCAGTTTTTTTTTTTTTTTTTTTTTTTGAAGAGGATCCCTAGACCAGAAGTGTCAACATCACTTGGTAGTTTATTAGAAATGCAAATTCTCTGGCCCCACAACAGACCTACTGCATCTGAGACTCTGGTGAGGCCCAGCAGTCTGCTTCACCAAGCCTTTCAGGTGATTTTGATACATGTTACATTGGAGAACCACTGTGTCAGATGATGGTGAAATCATACATTCCTTTGGAACAGAATTTTCCTCGTTCTCTTCTCAGTGGTCTACAATTTGGGGAAAAATGCCAAGTGGAGCTCTTGGGAAACTTTCTATGTGAACTTAAAGACAAGAGTTCATTAAACCTAAGAGCAGCATCTTTTTTACAGATACTAGGAAATTTTATTTTACTAATTGATTTATTTATCAAATTAGAAAAGAAAAGAGGTAAAATTGTATTTTAAATAAAATATTAGACTCTTGACATTCTCGGATCTCTTCATACTTTTTAGAACACCTACCTAAAATGTGTTGAGAACCTGTTAAGTACCAAAAAGTTTAAGATAGAAGACCACTTAAAACACATACCATGAAATCTGTTATGGTGCTAGACATAATCGTCAAAAAAGTGTGGACGATTCCTGTTCTGGAGTGAAGCCACCAGTTTCTGACATATTTTCTTGCTCCTTGATCTGTATATTTTTGCTCATAAGCTCTCTCTGGTTTGTCCGGAGTGTGTTCAATCTCATCTCTCAGCCTCTTTGTCAGCTGTCCTTCGAAAAGAAGAAGAAAAGAATTCAAGGCCAAGCAACTCCCTCCCCACCAGTAGTTTAACTTAATTTGTCTGAAAAGAGATTTGAATTCTCAAAAATAAGCCTCAATTGGAAGCTAGCAAATTAAACATTGACATTCAGTGAAAGCTAAGAGCTGCGTCCTTCTAAACAGAAAGAACAGGTGTTCCGAGCATCGCTGGAAACTCTCAGGGGTCATAGGCAGTCAGTGGACAGTAAGGACCAGGCACTCTGCCCAGCCCACTGGAGGTGAGGCTCCTTTCCCCGAGGTATGCCAGTGGGAATGCAAGCAGCTGGACCCAACTGCTCATGGAGGTGGAGGACATGACAGACCCAAAGGGAAATTTCTCAAGTAAAGGAAGAAAAGAAATAAAACTCACTCATCCATGATTTTGTCTAGATCATATTTCCTGGAATATTTCATGAAGCAAATTAATAATATGAGAACAATAAATACATAGATGTGGTTTTATAAGATAAGGAAGGCATAAAAGTGGCAAAAACAGACCTAATGGGAGACTAGCACCATGCTAATGGTGAGGAGATCATGGTCCAATACCTACCTGTCAAATCCATGGGAGCTGTGATCACACAAAATAAGAGCAGGTTGTGAAAATTCAACTACATAAAACAAAAACCTCACGTTTCACCTTAGTGAAATGAAAATGCAAACACCATTAACATTACTTTGGTTCTTTTAGATTCTTCTAGAATATTAGCCAAGCAGTATAGAGTAAAAATTAAAAATCAGGCTCTGGAACTGGCTGTGAGACTCCATTCTGCCATTTGCAAGCTTTAGGATCTTTAAGAAGCTAACTTCTCTAACAGTTTCCTCTCTTGTAAAATGCCATGCATCTCAAGAAGCTGCTGATAGAATTAAACAAGTATGTCTTTTAAATGTTTAATCTAGTACCCATCATGAAAGAAGCACTCAATAAATGGTAGATATTACTTTAAAACCTATTGCCAACATCAGTAAAATCCCCCATTGTCATTTCCAAAATGCACAAGCTCACACTATCAGAGAGATAATCAATATTCTTTTTAATGTCTACTGCAAGCAAGGAACT